AAGAATCCATTCTTTTTAAAAAAAGTAGAAAGAGATTGTAATAGTTGTGTTAAATTTATTAGAGAATTTAAATTATTTCCATATATAGATATATTAACATTAAATTGTAGTTATTTTAGAACATTTAAAACACATCAAATTATGGAACAAATTAAATATATTCATATTAATGAAATACCAATAAAAAATATAAATTTTCTTAATGGGTGTGAAAATAAAATACAAGAACTTGGTATTATTATTGAAAATGAAACACTTAATTTAAAAGAATTTATTAATCTTCAAAAATTATTTATTAATATTAAAGGAATAATAATAACAATATCTTCAATATTACCAAATAAAAAACAAAAATTAAAATTAATGAAACTTGAATTTATGAATAATAATTTACCTTGTAATATTTCAAAAGAACTTAAAGAATATTGTCAAATTAATAAAATAATTATTACAACAAATACTAAACCAATAGAAAATAATGATAATAAAAAAATAAAATTCTTTTATGAAGGATGGATTGAAAAATATGAAAAAGAATTTATTTGTAAAAAAATAAAATTTTTATTAAAAAGAAATGAAAAAGGATGTGATTTAAGTGAATTAAATAAAGTAATGAAAAAATATTATCCATATGAAATAAAATTAAATATAAAAGATACATTTAATATTAATTGGAAATATGATTTAAATGAATTAAGAATGTGTAAAACATATGAAGAATATTTTATTAAACGTCATAAAGGAGATCATGATTTTCAAGATTGTATTGATGAAGGATATTCTGTTAGTGAAGAATATGAAAAAGAAAAACAAATAAAATTAAAAAAAATAGATGATGAATTTAATGTAGAAGAATTAATAAAAGAAAAAATAAATGAAGATGAAAATAAAAAATATAAAGAAGAAACAATAAAAAGAAGAGAAAAGAAAAAAGAAGAAGCAAAAAAAAGAAAAAAATATTTTCCAATAATTGTTAAAACAACTGAAATTGATTTATCAGAATATACACAATTAAAAAATATAGAAACAAAAAGTGATATTATTGGAATTAAAGCACCTGAAAATTATAAAGATGGAATGTATTTAAATTTTAATAGTTCTACTAATATTCATTTAAGTAAAAGAGATGAACAAAAAGTATTTTGTTCAATTAGAAGAAATATGGATTTTTCTAAAGAAAATTTTATAAATGCAAAAATGATTAAATGTAAATTACTTCAAAAAACTTTATTTCCTTCAACTCTTAAAAGACTTACTTTAGAAGATTGTGAAGTTGCAACTTATAAAAATGGAAATTATTTCCAATTACCTAAATGTGTTACTTCTTTAACACTTAAAGGAAATATTGATCAACATGCATTACATATTGAACGTATTCCATTAATTGAATTACAATTATTAGAAACTCCTTTTGTAGAAATTAATCCATTTCCACAAACATTAACAAAAATTAAATTAATGAATATTAATTCTTCTAGATTAATGAATTTTAAAAATTGTACTTTAACTTCATTAGAATTAGTATCATGTATTAAAGCTGGTTTTCTATTACCTAATTTAAGATTATTTAGAGGAGATAATTCAAATATTTATATTAAAAATATTGAATCAATTAAAGTAAGAAGATGTGAATTATTTAGATGTTTTGTTAATGATCAAAATAAACTTATTTGTGATCATCTTTTTAGTTTTGGTGATATTTGTGATAATCATAATAATCCTTTCTTTGAAACTTATTTTGAAGAATTACCAATATCTAAATCTCTTTCTTCTTTAAATAAATCACCACAATTAAATTCTTCAAATTTATCATTATCTCCTATCTCTTCTTCATCTAATAATAATAATAATCAAACTCTTCTTCATCAACCAAAGATAACTCCTACAAATCCATTCTCTAGAAGTGCTATTGATGATTCTTCTTTTCCTATTCTTAATCTTAGAAATGAATTAACTTCTTATCAATTACCTCCTCCAACAAATTCTAATTATTATTCTCCATTTACACCTTCTTCTTCTTTAAATTATCAAGGAATTTATCAACATTATCATTCAACTTATTCTCCTTCTATTCCACCAAAATAATAAACATTTGTGTTATAATGGATATCTTTTAAATGATTGTTTTTTTTTTTTTGATTAAATCTTTCTCTTTTATTTATTATTTGATTTATTTGTTTAATTTATATACAACAAAAGATATTGTAAAATTTATCATTAAGTTCAATTTTTATTTTATTATTAAATTCTTTCTCTTTAATATTTTTATTATTTTTAAATATAAAAATATAATTTTTTTTTTGTTATTTATATATTAAAATTTTGTTATTTTAATTTATGATTAATATCATCTTTAAAAACACATTATTGAAGTAAAAAAGAATGAAGTCTTATATAACATTATTGATAATTTCTTTTGTTCTTATACTTATTTATTTCATTCTTAGAATATTAAGAAAACCAAAAAGTATGAGAGTTACAATATTAGTTCTTGGAGATATTGGAAGATCTCCAAGAATGGAATTTCATTCAATTGAACTTGCTAAAATATGTCCTGTTTCTATTATTTGTTATGAAGAAACACAACCACTTTCTTCTATTCTTGAAAACCAAAATATTGTACGTTATCCTCTTCATATTTTACCTCCTTTAAAATCAATTCCATTAAGAACAATTATATGGATATTATTTTATGCACCATTTAAATTCTTTTATTTAGCTGTTCAGTTACTTTATCTTCTTTTATTTAAATTACCAAATTATAGTCATATTTTAATTCAAAACCCACCTTCATTACCTTCATTTATCATTGCTGCTCTTGTTAAATTTATTACTGGATGTACTGTAATAGTTGATTGGCATAATACTGCTTATTCTATTGTAATGAATGTTCATCATTTAAAAGAAACTAATCCATTAATTATTATACTAAAACAATATGAATTACTTCTTCCATTATATTTTGATTATCATTTCACAGTAACAAAAACAATGAAAGAATTTCTTATTCAAAATAATTTTAAACAAGAAAATATTACTGTTCTTTATGATAAACCATTCATTAATATTAATTCAACACAATCACAAAAAATTGAATTATTTTCTCGTTTAAAAAGTACTTTTCCAAAATATTCAATTCCATTCATTAATTCATTAATTCAAGATGATGAAAAAATTATATGTGGAGTTAGTTCAACAAGTTGGACACCAGATGAAGATTTTAGTGTTTTATTTGATGCATTACTAAGTTATGAAAAAAATAAATTAAATCTTCCTAAATTAATTATTTTTATTACTGGAAAAGGGCCATTAAGAGAATTTTATGAAAAAAGAATTGAAGAAGAAAAAATGAAGAGAGTATGTATTATTCCTATTTGGCTTTCACATGAAGATTATCCTTATTTATTATCAAGTTGTGATTTTGGAATATCTTTACATCAAAGTTCTTCTCAACTTGATTTACCAATGAAAGTTCTTGATATGTTTGGATGTTCATTACCTGTATTAGCAAGAGGATATCAATGTTTAAAAGATGAATTAGTTATTGAAGGTGTTTATGGATATTGTTTTGATACTTCTAAACAATTATCTGAATTAATAATAAATATTATATCTGATGATAAGAAATCAGAATTATTCTTTATTTCAATGAAACAAAGTTTGTTTATTATTATTTAACTAAATTTGTTATAATTTAATTTACTTTATTCATTAATATAGATGTTATTGAAAATACAAAAGTTACTTGGAGTCAAAATTGGAAAAATGTTGTTCGTCCACTTTTTCTTGCTGAACAAGAGAAGAAAACACAATAACTAAGATTTATTCTTTATCACTTTTACTTCTAATTTTATTCTTTCAAAAAAAATATTACCAATAACATATTTTATAATAAAAGAAAAAATAAAAATGTTTTTAAAAAAGAATCTTTTAGAATATGAGTTGAGGGTAAAAAATCTATTTATAAAAAGAGTAAAAAGTAAAACTTCAATATTCATGTTTGACCATTATTTAAAATCCTAGAAAATCTATAATTTTCAATCTTAAATCTTCAGAAGAAGCAAAAATAAAAATAAACAAACAATTTAATGCTCCCACAACCAATTAAAACTACTCCTTCTGCCTTAAAAAATCAAACTTCTAATTCTCTTATGAATCAAATGAAATATAAATCAGAAGAGTCTCAAACTAAACTTATAAGTTTCTTAATGTATGTATTGTACAGTTTAGGTTATAGCTTTGTGGTGAGAAAACCAACTAAAGTAAATTGCCAACGCATGAGCATTATTCCTATTTGTGAAATAAGAGACATTTTTGGTAATGTTGTTTTTAATGAAGATCTTTTGAAAGAAGATGAAATTATGAAACTTGTTTGTCAAGTAAAAAAAGAAAGTTTACATCAAAGAATAAAAGCAAAATACAGTAGAGTCGTTTGTGCTAATTTCATGACTCAAACTATTGACCAATTCCCAAATACTTCTTTCATTTTTGGAACTTCAAAAAAGACTTGTGAAATAGAAACCCAATGTGGAAATATTCATCTTCCTGCTTTCCCAAAAATTCAAGCAGCCACTATAAACAACTTCTTGTATGATAAAAATGCTATGGAGAATATCGGTTCTCACTTTTACAAATTTCTGATTGATCAGTCTAAAAACTTAAAGAAACTTGAACAATTTATTGTTTCTCCATTGATTAATGCTGTTTGAAACATATTTAATTCAATTCTTATTGTAAATTTAGTAATTTTTTTAACAATGTAGTTTACTTTATATAATAATGAAGAATGTTAAGATTTTCACATATACGTCATACCAATAATAACTAACTAATCAATAATAATACTTTCTGAATGACAATACTAATTAAATCAACACAGTGAAACCAAAAAAGGAGATTAAGAAAGTGATAATCATATTATATAAACATAATCAATCTACTAAATAACATCAACAAAACAATGAAAGCATTACTTCTTATATTATGCATTTATTTAGTTTCATCACTTGAATTTGTGGATGGTGATTGTAAAGGAAGACATGGGTATTTCTGTTATACAGATAAAGACAAGAAGAGGGAATATTATACCTGTAACAAAGGTAAAAAGTCGTGTGTTAGCAAATGCCCAAATGAAGATGTGTGCATTGGTAAAGGTGAGTTTGAAATCAATAAAAACAAGATTTGTGTTGCACCTAATGAGTCTCACTGGGAAGTTGATCCATTACCTACTCCTACACCAAATAAATATCCAGTCAATTGTACTGAAGTGAAAGAAGGATATTATTGTTATGAAGAAGAATCAAAGAATACTGAATACTATTGGTGTGTGAACAGTGTTGGTTATGAAATGAAATGTCCTAAGGGAACAACATGTCATACAAAAGACAATGGTTATAACAGTCCATGTTATTAACTCATCATAGTCTAATTGATTATTGATGCTTACTTTTATTTTTACTATTTATCATCTCTAAACAACTAACATTATAATCTAATAACAACACTGTTTTGATTCATTAAAATGATAATGATAATTTATTATCAGTTTATTCATCAACTGTCAAACATAATCACTCCTTCATGCTATCTTGTTCATTGAATAAAATGGAACAATTTTTCTTATAATTTACATTAAGAATTATACAAATATCACTAATAATACAGTTTCATTTTATTTTATAACATTTAGTGAATGTAATATTTTAATTCGAATTCATTATTCGTTTACTTATTCAATCTGTGTTGTTTCATTTTCTATCTTATTAATTAATGATTTTTCAATAACTCATTTAGTATTGAATCAAACCAAAATTAAAAAATTGATAAATTCTAAAGTACCATTCGATTTTTAAACAATTCATTATTTACATTTCAATAGTAAATAATAACTATTTTAACCATAACGTTAAAAATACTATTTATTTTGTAAATCTAACTAATTTAAATTTATTTTAACTAAATTTTAAAAATTTTTGTTTGTTTTAGCCAAGACCAAACGAATTATTTTACATATTAATAAATTTCCAATGTTACATTATCGAACTTAAAAGAGTTATTTCCTGTTTTTGAAAATTAAATTACAAGGAAACTTCCTAAAATAATTTGTCTCTAAGGAAAAATTCAAATTTTGATTTTAATTTTTAAACTTTTAAATAAAAAATTTTAGTTCTAATGAGAATGAACATCATTCTTAGTCTCTTTATTTTAATTTCTTCATCACAAACATGTGACGAATTTAAAAATTATTCATACAAATCAGTTAATGAATCATTTAATTGTTTAAATTCTATTCCAACAACATTTTCAGAAAATAAAATACTAGTTGATTTATTAAATACATATCTTGAAGCATATGTTTACAAAGATATATTAAAAGCACCTCCTCAACCTAGTTTTTCAGGGACTTATTATAAACCATTTGATATCGATACAGAAATGAGAAATATAAATATAAATACATCTTGTCTTTATGATTTTTTAGTTGATATTCAAAAAATTATTATTTCAACTGGTGACAGTCATTTAAATTTTTTTATTCGACCAGAACAGGGAAAACCAAATGCATTGTTCTTTGATTTTTATTATTCACTTCCATTTAAAGTGTCAATATCTAATACTAAAAAAATGTATTTACTTCCACAATCTCTAACTGATCCATTCAATGAATTAATTCCTATTTCTATTATAAGAAATCAGAATACTGTAGTTAAATATATTAATGGAAAAGATCCATTCTCTGTTATTAGAAGATTTGCTGATTTATTTGTTCCTTTAAAATGTCCACATGCTCGATTCACTAACGCACAAAACTCATTTACTTTTGGGTCTATTGGTAGAACATTATTACCCAAATCTTATTTAAATACTAAATTTGAAATTGAATGGGAAAATGGTGAAAAGGATATTATTTCATATTTTATTCTTCGAATTAATCGTTCTTCTATATCTACAAGAGCAAGAAAAAAAGTTAATATGTTATTTTCTTCAGGTGTTGGAAACATATTATTACCAGAAGATATATTTGATTCTCTTTCCAGTGGTTACAATGAGCTAAAGAAAAGTGAAGACCTTAGTTATGTTTCAAAGGACAAAACTGTCAGTTGTTCTGTTAACATTACAAAGAAAGTGAATACATTTGTGTTAACAAGTTTTGCTCCTGATAGTGATAATTGGCAGAATTATCAATTTGTGATTAAACAATGTGTTAATTTGTTTGATGAAAATTCATATCCAATTCAAATTATTCTTCCACTAAATGGAGGAGGATACGTTACGTATGCTCAAAACATTGAAAAAATCTTTGCTCCTCATGACGATGTCAATTTAATTGTAAGTGCTAGAATAAGTAATTTTACTGAGAGAATTATGAGACAAGAAGAAGCAAAATCAATTAAAGATCCTCTTAATTGTCAACCAAGAGAAAAAACAAGTGTAGATGTATTAGGTGATTGGTATATGAATCCTAGGATGATTAAATATGGAAATAATGAACATAAAATTATTCAACCATCTCTTATAGATGAAAATGATGAGATAATAGAAAGATTTATTAAGAATCAAAGAAAACCAACTGATATTGTTGTTTACACTGACTCGTTCTGTTTTTCTGGATGTTCAATCTTAACAAAAGGATTAAAAGAAAGAGGAAGTGCTATTATTACTGGATTTGGAGGAGATCCAAATGGAAGTGTTGATGAATTTGAAGTTGGTCAATCACCAACAACTGTTTTGTTTTTGAATGAGTATCTTGGAAAAAGTTCAGACCCATTTATTAGTTATGGATATGGTCTTAGTTTGAGTTTCTTTGAAACTTTTAGATTTAATTACAATTATACTGAAACAATTCCAAGAGAATTTCTCCCTGATATTGTTGATGAAAGAACTAACATATTTTCGTTTTCTTCTAATGACTATTCTACTTTTATTGATTCTACTCTTACTATTATTGAAAATATAAGACTAAGTGTAATCCAAAGAATAAAAGACTTGTAAAGAAACAACAAATTGTGATTCAAAATTAAAATACCACATGCCCATGGTGGTTATGATGTGATGACAA